AGGCTGACTTAGGCCTAGTCTGCCGGAGGACCCCCCTATAATACACCGGGCACCTTCTCTCCTTCTCTCCTTCTCTCTCTCTCTTGTCCTGTTATTGCATCTTGCTAACTTGGCCATACTGCGTGTCACTAACTTGGCTTCTTCTCTGGAGCCTTTGTGCTCCACTGTCTCTCAGGTTAACTTAGATCGCAGCGGTGCCTGGATAGTGTGACGTGTGTGGTTGTGCTGCTGCCGTGGTCCTGCCAGATGCCTCCTGCTGCTGCTGTTATCATTAGTCATTAGTCATACTTCTACAGTTATTATACACATATGATTATTGTCACATATATATACTATCAGATTACCACACATAATCTGAGGGGACCCCTCCATTATTCAATCAATCAATCAATCAATCAATCAATCAATCAATCAGTTTTATTATTTTTTTTTGATCAAACAAAATGGGGGCACTAGAAAGCTAATTTCTTATCTAGGCCTAACCGCCGCATTGATTTTAACTAAACTTGGTAGATATATAGAACAGGAAGCCTCAAGGTGACTGGAGAAATTTAACTCTAATTGGCAACTGGGTGGCGCTATAACAACAGAAAAATGCTTAAAAATGGCTAAAATGCGACCGATCGCTGTGGCTCCCCCTGTGGACGAATGTTGGGTTTTTTTCTAATTTTTGGTATGACTAACTCATGGTTTGGTATGCTGTACTCAATGGGTTTGGACTAGTTGTAGTTATAAACAACATGTTTAAAATAATAATTTGGCCAATAGCTCATAATGATGTTTTTATATTGTATATTCAGTTTTTGTTGTTTTTTTTTATTTTCCCTTTGTTTCCAGGGCAACAAAGAAATCTATAAAATAAAAATATAACTGCTTTAAAGTCATTCATTCATTCATTCATTCATTCATTATGTATCTTTGAATGAGCACAAATTCAATCGTACACATTTATGAAACAACCTTTAATATAACCTTTCACATGAAAAACATTAAAAAACTGATGCCTTATGCCTTTACATATGGGCTTCCTTGTCAAGTGCAGTGACTCTGAGAACATTATATTAAACACAATTTAAACTGTATATCTTATTTTCCAAGTGCAAAAGGATAGTTCTGTTTGTATTGCGTAACACAACAAAAGCCTCATACCGAACAGTTCATTACGAATATGTGTAGTCAGCATCTTTATGAAGAAAAAATAAGGAAACTCTTCATAATAAACATGTTTATTGAATCTATTAATCTCGGTTTATCAAGTGAAATAAAAATATATTTCAAGGATTTAGTTTGGCAGACATGATATTCATAAAATATCACACCAGATGACTGTCCCCCTAAAACCTAAAGTCTCTGCATTATTGTACAAGTGTTGATATCAATATATTTAAATATTACAAAAAATATGACATTCAGTTAATTTTATGCATTGGAGCATTTTGTCTGAAAACTGCACCCTTTTTGCTCACTGGTACACTAAGGAGTAAGGAGTAAGTGTAATTTGTGATAACACTAAAAAAATATAACCAATGTTGATTTGCTACAAATATATTTATCTAATATCAATTTAATACTTGAAAGTTGAAGTTCAAGGTGACAGATTTCTATAGGTAGCCAAGACAACTGCCTGATAAAGGTTCAAACTGAGTTTTTGTCATACTGAATAACAGTTTTGTCATAAAGGGTAACTGTTATTTTCAGTTACACCATAATGTCATCTGTTATCCTGGATGACATTTTGTCTGGTGTTGTCTCATTTAAAATGCTTAAAACACATATTTTGAAAGTAAGATTTTGGTTATAAGTAAATAGCACCTTCATAAAGGCAAATAAATAAAATTAAGAATTACATTTTTGGTCAACTTGAAAACCTAGGCCAGTATTCTTCACTGGGCCACACAGCAACTCTACACCCAGGGCCTTCATCACATTAAAAAGGCTTTGGCCTCAAATTTGTAAGTCCCAAAGTTACAAAAACAAAAAACAACAGAAATAATGAATATTTTATACAAGTTGGTAGGATACTCTACCGACATTACTGTAGCTGAACACTCCAGTAACAGGAGCAGGTATGTAAATGTTGCTGCAGAGTGAAAAATTATGACCAGGTAGTGTGCTGGATCCACTCACTGAGCATAGGTGAGAAGAAGACCTCCGAGGTGGGGCTGGTTTTCTTCCACCTGTACAGAGGAATGGGCTTCCCAGAGCTGGATGTGCAGCTCAGAGTCACATTTCCCTTCAGCACTGCCTTCCCTGACACAGAGCACTTAGGAACAGCAGGAGGGACTGACATGAGAGGATCAGACAATATTTACTTTGTTAGATTATACAACATGATGTATGTCTTTCAATCAGTCAAGTTTACAAGAAGTATAGGAGTATAACTATAGTGCAGGAGAGGTGAAGCACATTTTCATGTCTTGTCAAGCAGGATCTGGTACTTACCCTTCACATCCAGGGTGAGCTGAGCAGTGAGGCCAGGATTATCAGGCCTGATGACCTGGCAAAAGTAGAGTCCTGAGTCAGACTCCTGGGTGTTGTTGATGTACAATGACACATCCCGTGAGGGCATGCTAGTGAAGAAACCAACGCGGCCCTTAAACTGGGCGCTGCCTACACTCATGGAGCCTTTGGTGTAGGAGATGATCTGGAGAAGAGAACAGAGAGCCAACACCAGACTTAAAGAAACAGGAAATAAAAGCCTTGTGAGTACGCAGTTTGGGAACAAGTATTTGTGCACAACAGAGGAACCCGTTTCATTGACATCCATGTCAATATGATTGCATTTGGGGGTTATCTTGGGTCAAAAGAATTAGAAGGACTTTTTAATCCTAACATCTCCTGCCCAGAAATTTGTGACTGGCTTTTTCAAACATTTGGTTGAATGCATTACAGAGTAAACTGAGTTACATGGAACACAATTTGTACTCCACTGATAAAATCTTCTTATAGAGTCATGTGGTGCACCTCTGTGGCCCCTTTCAATCATTTCAACCCTAACTGCAACCCTTGCTGTGCTAGCACACATAACACTGTTCAGAGAAAAAATCCAAACTAGTGTGATTTCTGAATTTGCATTTACCCATTCTTGAGAACTGTGACCAATCTTGTCCTTACAAAAAAAAAAAGCCTCAAAATTCTAACATATCAACACACTAATACTGTTTTTGGGGTGAAATATTATTTTTAAAGGATTTATTTATATGAAAAAATAAATAAATCACAGTTTCAAACAATTAAAAAATGTTTTAAAAGCCTTCAAAAATCTAAAACTAAAAGTACATACTGATAACTTATGTAAAAAGTTATGTAAAAATCTACTGCCATAATCATCTTTGTTTTAAAATATTTTTTTTAATGAAAATGTTGGCCGTGTAAAGATGTGTCCCAGAAGTTTGTCAATTCTATCAGATTTCTACAAAAACATCAATAAATCTAGACTAGATTAGATTTTTAATAATTTTTAACTAGATATTGGACACCAAGATGGTGCCGATTCATTTCAAAGGAGTCACACATATGCCAAAAAAGTTTTGTGGCTTCTGGGTTTACTTCAGCAGTATGCGGTCCACTGAATATGCCCAGTAGTGTTTCTCTTGCTGGCACCGCCTGTGAGTCCCGCTCAGCTCAGAAACTCTACATTGTGATGATGTCACAGATTTTTAAATGGATTTTCTCAGCTCCAGGTAAGTTTTACCAATATGAAACCTTCTTGGATTTAAAAAAAAAAAAAAAAATACAATAGAAAGAGTCATAACTAAATTTGTTTTACAGACGTGAGAAAGATTGGCTGCAAGGCTGAGCAGCTTTCCTGGGGGCCTGGGTCAGCTTTATCCTGAGGACTCCTGTCTCATGTTGTGGTTTCCATGAAGGCAGTAATATGAAATAACTTCATTAAAGCCTGAATTCTTTTTTTTATCTGCAACATGTTAGTCTGCAGGTTTAAACTTGTGTCCTCTCACATAGTTGCTGATTAAAACTTAACTTCACCTCTGTCAGAGAAAAACCTGTCAAAAACTGCTGGACAGTTTGTAAGTTTGTAACCACTTAGTGCATGGAGGCCATCTAAGTGAGATGTGAGACACCAAACACTCATGTGACATATAGGAAAGCCAAATTTGTGAATAATTTCATCCATTTTACTGAATTACAAGATCCGGTTGGATAGAAATCACAAAATATTTTTGCTTGTTTGGAAAAATCAAAACTGAACTGGTTTTTCAATTTTCAACAAAGTGACTGTTTGGCAGAAGCAATTACCTCACATTAGCTGGACTGCATACTGTGGAGATGGCTGTGCATCACTGTAACATACACATACAACTCTCCTGTGGCATCTAGGTTTGTCTTTGAGGTAGTGACAGTTTGTTCTTTTTTTTCCATCTTTTTGGCTCCAAATGACAGTGAAGCAAAGCGAGATGCTGGATGGCTGTCTGGGCACATGAAAAAACAAAAAGCTTCACTTCTGAGCTACTGTGTCTTTTCCAGCTCTCAGAGTTCTCTTTTTCCTATTTCCTTTTTGATTGTGATCCTCTTTTGGGTCGTCCATCTGCATAGCCCAATAATCTGACCTGGGCTGATACGTAAACTGAGCCACGGCCAGGTCTCCAGATAATTGTTGTTCAGCTGGGACTTGTTATGCAAGACCTCTCTGCTTTATTTAATGTTTTACCAGAGTGATGATTTCATAAATATTCTGATTTGGAAAACACATTCATCTCTTACTTTCATAAAGCAGAAAAACTACAGCAGGGTTTACTAAACCAGTAAGGACATAATATAGTGTTTGTATGAAAACCCTAAACCTTTTTCTTGGATTAATTTCTAGGGGTTTACAAAAGAAGAGCTTTGCCAGATTAACAGTGTAAAGACAGGCAAAGATTGTTGGTAATCCCAGATAGTATAGCCACAGCTGCTGCTGTAGATACTGTAGTATACTGAATGTAGAGCAAGATATGAAAAAATATCACTTCAATGTTTTCCACATATGTATGACTGTTGGTAGGGTCTTTCAGTCACTTCCTTACCAGCTGGCTGTTGTTAGAGAAAAAATTCCAGAGGATGGTGTTGGTGCTCAGGTCACTGCCTGGCTCTGTGATGTATGAGGCCCTCAGCACCACCATCTGACCCTTGATCGCATCCATACTGGATTGGGGCATCTGGATCTGGGCCCATATCCCTGGATGGAGGAGGAGTAAAGGGGAGAGAAAGGAAAACTGTCAGTGTGATCCCTCTGCAAAGCGGGTCAGGGTTTTATCCATATTTATTGTAAGGCTTAATAAATCTGTATTTATAACAGCACTGAAAACAGTTCTTGCAAAGCTGACACAGTTGTAAACAGGTTTTGAATTTCATATTATGCCATTACTCATTCCGCTGTGGTTTCAATTAGAATTTCCGCTTTGGGGTTGTATGCCTCCACAAACCAGTTAAGTTGCAGTTACAGTTTACATCCATGTCTGAGAAAACATGGATGCTTCACACACATCTTCCCCCCAGCAGCACAGAAGATCTATACAATCAGCACAGTTTCAAGGTGGGCACCCAAGATTAGTGTCATCAATTCAGTATCTGACCAAATGTCTCCCTTTCTGTTCAGAAAAGTGTTTTTGCAGAACATTATGGTGTCACAAGCTGACCTTTGACCGATTGGATATATAATATCACCACTTCACCATTTTATCCTATTAGACATTTGTGTGAAATTTTGTAATAGTTAGCGTATGAATTCCTGAATTATGGCCAAAAACATGTTTTGTGAGGTCACAGTGACCTTGACATTTGACAGTCAACCACCAAATTCTAATCAGCTCATTCTTGAGTCCAAGCGGATGTTTGTGCCAAATTTGAGGAAATTCCCTCAAGGCCTTCTTGAGATATCACAAAATGAGACAGAGACTGACCCAAGATCACAGTGAACTTTGACCTTTGACCACCAAAGTCTAATCAGTTCATCTGTAAGTCCACGTAGATGTTTGTGCCAAATTTGAAGAAATTTCCTGCAGCTTTTCTCAAGATATCACATTCATGAAAATGCAACAGATGAGGTCACAGTAACCTTAAACTTTGACTTAATTCAAATCAGTTCATCACTGACTCAATGTGGATGTTTGTGCCACATCTGAAGAAAATGTCTTGAAGTGTTCTTGAGATGTCACATTCACTAGGATGCAACCTTGCACATGGATGCAAGGTTACATTGACCTTGACTTTTGATCTTTGACCACCAAAATCTAATCAGTTCATCCGAGTGAAAGTTTGTGACAAAATTTGAAAAAAACATCCTCAAGGCATTCTTGAGACATCTCACTCACAAGACAGAGACAGATATGGTCACAATGACCTTAACCTTTGACCTATGACCCCCCCAAAACTATTCAGTTCTTCCCTGAGTCCAAGTGAACATTTGTGCTAAATGAGAAGAAATTTCCTCAGGGCCTTCTTAAGATATTGCAATCAATGTTAAAGTTTTTTTGGGGGGAGGTTTTCCTTATCCGCTGTGAGGGTCCTAAGGACAGAGGGATGTCGTATGCTGTAAAGCCCTGTGAGGCAAATTGTGATTTGTGATATTGGGCTTTA